GTGCGCGGGGCCATCCGAGGGTGCCGTGGCTGCGCAGGTCCCGCGTGTCTGGGGGCGTGCAGCCCAGCCTCTCACTCTGTGCCGGGAATGGGACGACACCTTTCAAGCTCTTACCACCTCCCCCCAACCCCCCGTGCTTTGGAGAAGCAGCAGACCGGTGGGGCAGGTGCATGTGTGTGCAGAGCTGGCCTTACAGCGGTGGGCGTCTGGTGGTCCCTTCCTTGTCTCCATGGAGACCGTCGGTCCTTCACTTTGAGGAATTTCTTAGCTGTTCTGGTTCATTACGATGAGCAAGCCGAGACGGAAGGAAAATGAGCATGGCCTCAGGCAGACGTGTGAGCCCCGTCCCCACCCACTGTACCTTCATCGTGTGTCACACGCGTGCGCTGCGGTCCCGCCAGACTGTGCGATCCAACGCACGTGGGACAGACCTTAAAGGCTGAGATATGGTGACACGGTGGCTTTGTTCCGTGACCGCCAGGTACTGTCTCAAGGCACGGCACACGGTCCGGGCGAGATTTGTCACGAATGTGGGTTCGATGGCCACAGTGAAAGCCTTACTTCAGCACGGCCCAGGCCTTCTCACGTGCGAACCGCTTGCGCGGGAGGCCCCGGTGCTCATCCGGTGTGGTGGGGCTGGGCGGGTGCACCAGGCATGGGAGGGCGGGCTGCTCGTGTGCTTCGCGTGGCCCTTTGGGTGCCTTCTTCAGCCCCCCGTGGTGGGGGCTGGCTGCGGCGGTGGCCGTGTCATCCCAAAGCCACGCTGGACTTTCCTCCGTGGCCCTCGTCTTCAGGTCCCGTTCCGAACAGTCCCACATGTCACTTGTCGTGCCTCACGTCCTTAAGCAGTCGGTTCTGTCTGGAAGGTCTGGCCGAGGCCTCCAAGGGAGGCAGATCAGGGCCTGCCACAGCCATCCGTGTGGGAGCTGTGTTGTGTCACGCTGGGTAGGACTCTGGCCGTGTTATTTAGCGTGGTGGCTAGTTACCGTTTTAAAGTTCCACGATCAGCAGTGCAGGGCGGCCAGATCCCTCCAGCGCAGACTCGGCCTGCGTCCACGGAGACAGGGTCCTCGAGTCCACGCAGGACAGGGTTCAGCGTGAGCCAGAGTTCGAGTGGAGGGGTTCATGAGGGAGGGAACAGCGCTCCGCAGACAGCGCGGTCTCCTCTCAGAGTCGGGGCCTGAGACCACAGGTGTTTGAGGAAGTGTTCGAGTTTGTGCTTTTTACTTTCCGTGAAAAATTACCGATTCCAGGAAGTCAGGACTGGAATGCAGGGTCCGGTTTCTCTTGAACTCCGTGCAAGGTGCGGTGAAAGCGTGTGTTTCCTTGTTTCCGCTTCCTGGTGGGCCGAGCCGTCTGAGCGTCCGCGGGAACCGTCCTCTGTCCCGCAGTTTCCTCGCGGTCTGGCCTGGCCGATGTTCCCGTGTCGGGCGGCATGTAGCAGGCTCTGAGTTCCACTCGGTTTCATATTTAGTCCGTGCAGTTTTTATGCCTCTTCCCTATATCGAAAGGCCTGATTTTCAGTCAAACAGCGAAAACCACCGCGGTTTCTGTTCGCGCCGCCTCCTCGTTCTCTGTGGGTGTCCTGTCCGTCCGTGTCCCAGTCAGACAGCCCCCTCGGGCCCCGTTACTCCGAGGAGGCCAGGGTCAGGAACCCGCCCCGTCTCTCCGCAGCCAGCGAGGAGTACTACCAGCTGCTGGTGTCCAGCGAGAGCCTCGGCTGCGGCGCCGACGTGCCGTGCTACACCGTGGGCGAGATCGAGCGCGCCACCGCCGAGTTCGTCGTGAAGAACGCGGTGAGTGTCCCGCGCCCTGGAGGCCCGCCCCGCCGGCACGAGGCCCCCGTCCATCCGGCCATCCGTCCATCCGGCCATCCGTCCATCCGGCCGAGCTGGCGGCCAGGTGGCTACGGCAGCAGAGTGTCGACTTTCAGGAAGCGACTTCCTTCCTTAAAAAAAAAAAAGTGAAGTCGGAGGTCCAGGAGCAGAGTCGTGGTTGAGACATCTGCT